GCGGCGCAGCGGCCGAAACAGCATGGTGCGCAGGGTCCGCAGGTTCTTGGTAACAGTCCGGATTCGGCGAGCCAGCGGCCCATCGTCTGTGCGGGCTTTCGTGGTGCAGATCCCACGGCGGGCAGGAGAGTGTGCAGCTCCGTGTGCTCGGGCCGTGGAGGCCCTCCTGCTGATGCTGGTGTGGAGACACCGCAGAGGGCAGCAGCCGTATCCTAGAAGACCAGGTAAGAACAGGCTCTCAAATGTTCCGGGCTTAAGGACGCTTGGATGGATTTATTTGGTTTGATTTAATGCACCGACAGATCAATCATCTTCTCGGGGACAAGGCTAGCAGAAGGAGATTACAAAGGGTGAGGTTGGAGGGGTACACTTTTCATCCAGTTACAGTTTCTTGAAGAGATGCGAATCTTCCAATACCCTGAGTCGGGAACCCTCTTCACAAACCTCCTCAGTCCTATGAATCTCTAAGTGGATCCCAGACCTTCTAAGCCCACCTTAGAAGTTTAGAAACTGGCTCCACAGTTTCCTCGGTGGGAGTCGGCCGGGACACCCATCGCATAAAGTGTCTTTGCGCTGTGAAGTGTCTTTTTAGAGCACTTTATTCGCTCTGAAGGAAATTACTACTAACATGTTAGTTTTCTAAGCCCCCTTTTTTTTTAGTCCTCCTCAGCCTCCAGGGCGGGTAGAGGAGGACAAGAGAGTGCAGAATGTGGACACGCATTAGTGTGACTTCCTGAAATACTAGCCCTGATCGAGGGATCAGTAACTGCTACAGAAAGCAAACCCTTGCTTCTAGGAGATTTTTGCAGCCAGCAAAAAGAATGAGTTTTCGTGAAATATTGAAGTTTCTTACTCTGTGGCCTCAGTGATTGAAAATGTTCAGAAGAATGCTCCTATGTTTAGCAGACCATAGAACTACAGTGATGTCCCTGAAGAATCACAACGGATCATATTTTAGTCATCTCAGACCACAATTAACATAACTTATAAATGAGGCCTACTTCTTGAAAAATGAGATCTGTGGTAGTTTTGTCTTCATAGGGATAAGTCTTCACTCTGTACCGTCCTAAAAGCTGGAAAATTGAAAAAATATAATGCTATAATATGCGGAATCTTAATTAAAACTTGGGTGGTAATTCTAAAAATGATTTAGTGAGATTTCATTGTTATGACCTTCCTGAGACATCAAGACCTTTAATATATATATAACACCAAGAAGCAAAGGCCAGTGGAGGGTGGATTTTTTTAAATTTCAGATTTAATCTTTTTGACAAGGAAATGTAGGTGTCTCTCTCTCATACACACACAAACAAACACATGGTGTGGGGGGTGCGCTGGACCTTCACTGAGCTATGTACTCAGCCTTTTTGAAATTATGTTTTTATTTTGAGACATGAATCTCACAAAGTTCCCAAATTGCCCAGGCTAGGCTTAAATTTTCAGCCCTTCTGCCTCTGGCTCCCAGAGTTCAGGGATAACAGGCTCTGGCCACCACACCCAATTTAGGATTTTGTTTTCTTCTAGCAAAAATGTGCCGGCATGGTGGCAGGCCTGTAATGGTGGCAGGCCTGTAATCCCAGCGCTCCAGAGACTGAGGCAAGAGGATTGCTACCAGTTTGAGGCCAACCTTTGCTACATATTGACTTCAAGGACAGCCCGAACTATATAGCGAGACCCTGTCTCAAAAAAAAAAAAAAAGTACAATTTGTAAGATAAATGTGCATTTTATTTCTCATATTTTATGAAAATGTTTTAATAAGTACAAGGAGTTGATGAAAGATTTCATGGCATGTTGCTAGATTTGAGTTTTAAATATTCGCAAATGTACTGGTGAATGCCTACAATCCTAGCACTTGAGCAACTGAGACAAGACAATCAGGAGTTCCAGGCCTGCCTGGGCTAACTAGCAAACTGGAGGCCAGCCTAAACTACATAGTGAGACTCTGCTTCCAAAAAAGGGTTTTTTCCCCTTAATAATGGGTTACCATATCAGCAAAGTTTGTCCACTGTGACATATAAGTTTGAATGCAGTTCATATTATCCTCTAGTTGTTTTATTACTCTATATAAAATTATTAGGTTGAAGGCCGGGGATTTAGCTCAGTGGTTCCTGTGCCTGCCTCGCAAGCACAAGGACCAGAGTTCAATTCCGGGTAAAAAAAAAATATATATATA